TAAAAAATATTTATTACAATTTGTAATTATGTTGAAATATTTTATGTTGAATAATTTGTCGAAGAAAAGTATTTCGTCATGAAAATACCTATATATATAACATAAATATTTTTATAATTTTTAATCAATTGTCTATTCATTTTTCACTTGAATGATATATAGTAAATAACAATGTTTTTTTTTTTAATATATTAAGTATATTTAAGCCATATACATTTTTGTAAGTGTCTATAAAATATATAAAAAAAATATTTTGATTGTATTGAAACAGAAATTTATTTTTTATATTTTAATTACACTTATTATTTCTATTTGAATTCCATTTTCATTTGCCTGCTCATTTAAATTTGATTTATAATTAGACTTTAGCTATTGGCAAATAATATTTATTTTCAATATATAATTGAATTGGCTATAAACAAGTATTGATCCGCTTTTAATGTAAATGAAATGCCACGTTCTGTGCGCCACTAACACAAGTCAACTTTGCGATCCCTGATAAGGTTTGATCTTAGCAACAGCCGCTGCGGGTAAAGCACACTGAACAGAACGACTCACGTTAAAGCAATGCTTGAAATTACAATGGCTATATTCACATATGTATATACATATATGTATACAATATATATATATATATGCATTTGACATGAACAATTTAATCAAATTTAGCTAAGCTCGCGCAATGACTAATTACACAGAAATTGAAGATCTCTTTACAGTATTAATGGCATTATAAACACGTTTCTTTTTTATTGTTGCCAGGCAATTGTAATTTTATTTAAAAGTAGCTTTTGTTTTTGCTTCTTTTACGATAATTTATTTTCATATGCCTTAATTAAGTGGATTCGAGCTTTTTGTGTGCTGCATGAGAAATGGGAAACAATTTTTTGTTGTCTTAAATTGTCGTTAATTAGTTTCTTGGAACTTGGAAGTTGTTGTTTGGCCAATTGAGCGCGCGTTCGCTATTGTCTGAGCGTTATATAGTAATTACATTTTCTTGTTTTGCTGAACTTTACAATTGTTTTGCAATGCGAATCGATAGCTAGTGAAACCTGTCAGCTAGTTGACTCTGTTTGCAATCGCGGCTCTACATAATTTCATGCTAGTTATTTCCGCTCCGTGGCACACTTTTGGCGTTATTAAACGTCGCACACGGATCGAATTGATCCGTAAGTTCAAGACTGCCGTCCGGTCACTGATCGTCTAATTTAATCAAATCTAATGAGCGAATAAAATAAATATCAAATCAAATGCCGCACATGCAACAGGCATGCCGACTTTGAACCTATTCCGATGTCTCTGGCTCTGTCTCTGCCTCTGTTGTCTGTTGTCTTTCGGTCTACGGCTCTGGCCCTGCCCCGGCGTACACAAGTCTGACTTGTCCGATAAGCCTAGTCTATGTGGGTTTTTGTTTATGTCAATAATTGTAAATAGATTTCATCTGGCAGGCCCCCGTGTCTGGCTCTAGCAGCAGCATACCCTGTAATGTAGCCAGAGAGATAGACAGTGTGAGCGACAGAAGGAGAACATGCGATATTGTTAATTTAACATATTCATCAATTTATAAACGATATTTATATTAAATGAGAAAAGTTAATTACTAATAATACAAAGTTTACTTTAAGCCGTTCAGGAAAATATGTTCACAAAGAACTTTATAATGAAGCTTCGCTTTTTATTGACTACGGGGTATCATATAGTTCAGTTTACTTATAAACTAAGTTGTATTTTATTTATTTTTTAGTACTCAAATTTATATTACATAAAAGCTTATTAAGTTGATTTCGTATTGCCTACAGGGTATCTAAAGGTCAATATTTGTCTCTCGCTGTCTCCCTCGCTCTCTCACTGTCTTTCTTTCTCTGGTTGATCTCATTTTTCATTCAACAGCATTTCGTACTTGTTACCAAGTGTAGTGCCATAAAATTGCAATTGGCAATGGCCCACAAATGCCATTCATTAATTAGTTTATATACA